TTTGTGTTCAATATATATAATATATTATTGATTTGGCCTCTTATGTTTGTGCTGTATCCATTCATTTGTCTGTTCAGTTGATTTGTATGGATTTGTCCTGCATTTATTTCAGTGTGCAGACATGCGGGGTGTGTTATATACAGACCTTTTGAATGTGTATTTATCCTTTTGTTGTATAATATGCTTTGATTTTGTGCTTTCCATCTTGTAGAGTCACTGTGTGACTTCAGTTTCGAAAGGAGCTGATGGTTTACCTGCTTTGTTTTATCCTTATTCAATAAAGGAACATAATGTTACACTTTGTGTTTTTATATTTATATGGAATGTGTATTTTATATGACAGAGTATTAAGGCCACACTAAAGGAGAAGGACAAAGTCATACATTTATGAGGCTGGTTCTTTTTTCCCTAAAAGATGCATATTCTTTTTACAGTCCTGATACATATGACAATGTGATGCTGATGTGCCAAAAGATTAAGTATGTCCTTGATTGTGGAACCATACTGAAGAACAATTCCACGAAATGCCCCACAGCTGTCATTTTAACAACTGTCCTCCTCTAAAACAACGGGTTACAATATTATTAAAGACTTCATTATCGAAGTCTGTGAATTTTCTTTTTTTTTCCCCTCTGTGGCCCTAATATTCTATCATTTTATATATAGCCTTATAGTCTATGGGAAACTGTAAATTATCTAATGATAGCAACATCATCTAAAAATCATCATTTATCCAAAATGATTGAAATTAATGATCACAAACGTTTAAACAATGACAGTGGGTCTAATTATATGTGATAACAATGTATAGTGTGCAGTGAAATAACTATTGGTTTCCGTTTGTGGTGACTGCTGACTGACATGAGGGATGAGATTAAATAAATCCTGGAACTTAGCCTGGTCTGGAGCAGGCTAGCTCCACAGAATAAATCTCCATGGTAATTTATACCATAACATCCTACCGCCATCTAATCCAGCTTTAGTGCAACCGGATCACGGATAAGTTGAGCCAGGATCACCAAGATATCCCGGCTTAATCCCTTATCCTAGTTTTGTGCAATAGGCCCCAGGTAAAGCAAAATCAGTCATTTGTTTCTAAACACATTATCAATTAGGGCTGAATGATAAATCGTTTTGTGAGCGTGATTTAGATCCCTGTGCGATCTCAGTCTCATGTGACAGTGATTCTGCTGGGTCTGCATTAGCAGGAAGATGCCTTGCATCAAACCAAGCGCAATCTTTTTAATCGCTGAAATTTGGCTGGGTGGCTGATAACACATTGTCCTGTGGTGTGACAAGCTCAGAACACACCTATTTCTACTTTATCCTGACTTTAAACAGATGATGTTCCCATGAAGCTCATTATCTCATTGATCTCAGTGAACGGAGACGGGTGAAAGTATGGACTACTCCTTTAAGACATCTTGGGATCAGCCGTTCGTACCTGCGGCTCTGCTCCACACCGAGCGCTGCCGATCCTTCACTGGGAGCTCCCTGACACAGGTGAACCGCAAACTGCCGCACCACCGGGTGGTAATGTCTCTGAAAACACACAGGATGACGTTACAGGGGAAACACCTGCAGCGTACTGTCAGCGTATGTACCTGCTGATGGCTCCTCTCCTGATGTATGTGGGACTTATGCTGCAAGGTATGTGTTCTGAATGAAAACAGTATCACATGCTACCAAACCCTTCACAGAGCCCAGTAGTACAACCAGCAGGAGACCAGTGATGTGTGAAGTGATTTTGGTGACACACCGTATTAGAATGAAGTTCATGAATAATTTTCCCTGTAAAAATTCCCCCAAATTATGCAACTTCCAACTTAAGTGTGGTGTGTAACCAAGAGGGAGATCCCTGGTGGCTGAACAGAATTTGATGGTACTACATTATGTATAAGAGTTATTTAATATTAACGTAGTATCTTTTTTGGGGGGTATATGCACTCGTCTCACAAAGACCAGTTTGTCCATCATGGAGGACGGCTCGTTTTGATGAAAATTTAAGTTGCAGCTTGTTGTCTACCTTACCACGGTTGGAAGGAGACGTCGTTTGCGTTTTAACAGCATTTAGCTTATGATCGCTATATTGATCCAGGAACTTTGGACCTGTGAATGATTTTCTAACTTTAGAGTAGCGCTGCAGAGCTGAGGTGAACTCCGAGTATGATGTTTAGCCTACACGTAGGCACACAAAAACATCATATGAGCCATGATAAGTAACAGCATGTCATGATCATTCATCTTACAGACATCTTGTCTGCACTATCATGATGTAGCCTCGCGGTGGCTTCACCTCTGGGAGCTGTCACGTCATCCATACTTTATACAATCACTGGTGTGTACCTGCACAGTGTTAAGTGTTTAACCTGCAGAGTGTGCAGCTCCCACAGTGCTGTGTTCTGAGCGTTGCAGTGTTCAGGCTCATCCAGCTCTGGCAGGTAGAAGCCACTGCCATGAACCTCGTTATCCAGCAGAAAGTCACACTTAGGGAAGGCCTAAAATAAACACACACACATAAAGACAACCGTATTTACACAGGTACAGTTAGCTACAGTACTTATTTACTAATCTATCTGCAGTACAAACTGTCATTAGATGAACCATGGGAAACTTGAACCAGGCTCCAAGCCCCTTACTGCAGGTAAACACACACACACCCACACTCTGAGACTCACGTGCATGGAGGCTCTATTGGCGGCAAGGATTCCCACACTAGCGTTGGGCAGTACGTGCAGACTGAGCGTGCTCAGGCGTTTGACGAATGCCATCGCCCTCTGCAGGGTCACCTGTTTCCTGCGGCGGGTGAGCATGGCATCCAGGCAATGTAGCACAATGACGATGTCATCATTGGGTGCGCCTGTGTTAGACAGGATCATGTCGTCTTAACCAGTTTCACTGTCCACCCACCACCTTCTCTATTTACAACTGATTTGACAACTTATTTGTGCTGAATAACATTTTAACAAATCAATAAATATTTATTATAAAAAAGAAATTATTCTATTAGTTGCAGGTTAAGCTTTTCTTCTTCATTCTTGTTGTTAAAACCTTCAGCTTAATTCGGGCGTGAGCTGAAATAAACAGACGTCTGTCACCTGCGTGCAGCCTTGGCAGCATTTTGTAGAGCTGAGAGTAAAAGTTGAGAGGGTCAACGTTCAGGACGTCACCTGATACACAAACAAAGACATGAATAAATGTTATTGATACACATTTGTTTAATGATGTGTCACTGGAGGAAAGTGTTTCAGGAAATTCACCTGTCATTTCTGAATAAACTGTACTTTTAAAATGTTTAAATTAAAGACGCGCTCTCTGACCTTGTCCTGACAGGATGGTGAAGACGGTCTGGATGCAGTGCAGACTCTCCCGAATGGTCAGATCCTACAGATAAATCACATCAGGATGATCAATACCAATCGACTGAGTCACACTGGACTAACAGCAGAACGTCATAGGCGGGATCAAGGTGAATACTCACTTCTGATTGGATGAGGTTCTGCAGCACATTAAGCAGGTCGTCAAAGAACTCCAGGTTGATCAGGTGAGCAAAACTGACAGGAGGTGACATCACAGTGAGTTCCACAGTACTAGAACAGTAATACTACAGTATGATAGTAGTGCGTGCATGCATCATACTTGGCCAATCCTTCCAGAACAGCTGGAAGAAGAACAGACTTCTGTGCTTTCTTCAAAATCCTAAAGTAGATGAGGAAGATGATGTTCAGAGTCTCTGTGTGCTGAGGAAGAGGAGGGGTAGGAGTTTAGTTTCCCGTGTGTCTCACTGATAAACCCATTCCTGGTTCTTATCTTTAAATTTTGTCTGTCAGTTTTCGACTTACCAGTTTGATCTTCTTCTCTTTGCTCTCTGAGGCTTCAGCCTCTAGCAGCTCCTTCTCCAACTTGTCTTCCGCCTTCTTCCACTGCGCGCGCGCACACACACACACACACACACACACACACAGAGTTTACAGGTGAGCTCTGGTAGTGTGTGTGGCTATCAGCTAATGACAGCTCACTTCCCCTTTGCACTTGCTCAGGTTAGTCACTTCTGCTCACCAGTGCTGTTTTTCCATCAGCAGCCGGGGGGGGGGCTGAACTGCTCTCGAGTGGTAATTACCACTGCACCATAAAACGCATTATCTTCTCATCTTTATTTTAAGGACAATCACTTTATTTGGCCGAGTATGTTACACACACAGAATTTGTTTCTGGTACAGAACCGAGGCAGCCATCTGTGGCGCCAACTCAACCGATGGCTCTAACCATCGGGGGCAACTTGGAGGTTCAGTGTCTAGCCCAAGGACGCTTCAACACATGGACTGCAGGCACCGTGATTCGAACCTGGGAGATGACTGCTCTACCCACTGAACCACAGTCGCTCCTCATCAGGAAACCAAGTTTTCACTTGTGCTGCTGAATGTATAAGAACTTTGCTTCAGTGCAACATTTCACCCAGTGACGTGTCTCAACGAGCCAGTGCTGGTGAAGGCAGAGCTCGGCCCCAGGTGGGAACAGGGCCATCTGAGCCCCAGTCAGGACGATTACCCCCCGCTGCTGGGAACAGATGAGGCCGACCAGTGACCACCCTGCTCAGCTTGATTTAGAGTGAGCTGACCCGTGCTGATGAAAAAACAGAAATTGCAGCCCCCACCTATCGGAGCTCGCTCATCCAGGTGTATAAGCCTTCTCTTGTAATAGGTTCTGCAAATGAAGCCAGACTAGTCCTGTAGTCACTGTCAGATCCAGACTTTTCTATGTGTTGCAGCAGCACAGAACGACAGAGTTTAAACAAGCAAGTGTACCTTCCTCTGCATCCTGGAAAGGTTCTTCTTCTTCTCTTTGTTGTTCATGAACTTCTTCTTTGGTGCTGTGTCCTCTATGTCCTTCTTCATCTCCACCTCCTTAATCCTCAGACTCAGGAGGGTTCTTAGCACCTGAGGGGGCATTACATCTTGTTAGTCTGTGTGTGTGTGGGGGGGGGGGGGGGGGTTAAGGAAGGGGGGGTTTTTGTGGTGGGGGGTGGGGGGGGGGGGGGGTTTGGTTAAAGTAGACGTGGCATGGGTGCGTTTCATCCATTACCTCAGGCCTGACGTTGTAGTTGAGGCTCTTGATAAGACCAGAGATGACCCGTATAGTGGCCAACGAAGCCCCGCCCAGTTTGTCGTGCTGGAAGAGCTTCCTGAACGCATCACAGCACATCCCTGACACCTGTAACTCACAGACACACCTGAATGCATCACCCCATGCTGATCTACCTGAGCGACAACAGGGACTCAGCCGCTCACCTTCTTTACAGGGTCGTTCATCAGCGGCACGAGGACGACAATGATGTTGTTGTGAAAGTTGAAGTGAGGCAGAGCGAGCAGCAACTCACACAGGCAGCGAATGGCCACTTCAGCCAGGCTGCGGTACGACATGAAACTCACTGCCTGACTGCGCTTCTTCTTCTTCTGCTTCCAGTCTAAAGAAGAAGATTAAACACACTGATGTGCAACCTGAACAGTGTTGTGTATGTCTGAGTGTGTTGTGGTTGTGTACCTTTAATGGTCTGCTCCAAGTCCTCCAGGTAGAACTTGTACTGACTGACCAAACCTTCTTCAAACTCGCGAAGCTGCTGAGTATCCTTCTTCACCTGTACAACAAACCAAACCAACATGATGGGAAACATCATAATCAGGTCTCCACAGGTAAATTTTACAAGTACTTCTTGGTTATTTCCATGTCTGAAGCTGTGACCAGTTGACCCATTGTTTGTAGTGAGCGGCTTGTCACACACAGTGAGAGGGATGCAGTGTCTCCCATGGAACAATGATGTTATTTATTTGGCAGGCCGCAAGCTGACAGGGGTAATTTACGTCATTCTGTGATGTACAGAACCATCCCAAAACCGTGGAAATTTATTTTGAGGTCACATCTACTGTGGCCACACAAACTAGAGGCTGCTGCTAAAGGAAGCGCTGAACCCTTTTCTACATGAGATAGTTTAGCTTTTAATTTTTAACAAATTTCAAACATTTTATAAATGCATGTTTTCACTTTGGCACTATGGGTTACTGAGTGTAGACTGAAATGCAGACATCTCGACTCATAGTGAATAAGAAATGATGAAGCTGTGGAAAACGTGCAGTGTACCTTGGTGGCCTTCTCTGCAGGGGTCAGAGGTCGTATCCTGTAGGCAGGGGCGATGTCTTTGAAGATCTCCATCAGAGAAACCATCACCAGCTTCCTGACCGTCACCGCCACACAGGGGTCAGACTCCATCAGCATGCCACGCAGCTCCTTCACCCGTTTTATCTGACCACACACAGCTACATTACACAGACTGTCCCTTGAAACAGAGTGTGTCTGATCCTAGACCAGCAGGTCACTTACATTGTTGAAGGGGTCTGAGATGATGGCTGATCCCAGGCCGGCGATCTGAAGTTTCTTCTGGTTTATCTTCTGTGCTCTGAGCCGTTCTCGCTGTGCTGGTGTTAGCCCCGCGATGCTCTCTGGACCCTCCTCTGCACAAGGGGACACATTACAACCATGTCAAGACTACATCAATCCATCAAATCCAGATACCAACATGTGCCCAGAGTCAAGTCCAACACGTCCTGAATCAGGTGTAATAAGTCCTGAGTCAAGTTCCTAAGACCCAAAGGCCATTCATACCATTTTCCGCCTCCTCTGGCTCTTCAGCAGCTTGCTCTGGCTCTTCAGCAGCTTCCTCCTCTTCCTCCTCCGCCTGCTTTTTGCTTTCTAAGAGACAGCAGAAGTGACGTTTACTCTACAGTTACAATATCCAGACAGACTGAACACTGTTCAATAATGGGTGTGGTACCTCTCTCTACACTCTGTGGGATGACTCCCGTCTTGTCTTTAATTGGCAGCAGGTGGATGACCTCCTTCTCCTCTGTCCTCGCCATTTTCCTGGGAACCTTCTCATAACTCCGAACCACATCCGAGCTGCGCTTCTTACCGCCATGGACCGGCCCACTAGGACACCCGGCCACACGAAACAAACACACCTGAGTCACTAAGTGTGTTAACTGCTTTTCTACATTTAAACTGATCTAAAATAATTCTCAGAATCTGCTTTATTCCACAAGTAAACACAGTGCTTCTTCCAGCACAGCAAAACAAATCAGTCCAAACAATCATCTAATCCTTGGTGAGAAGCAGATCAAGTAGTAGACGCTCTTATAAAGCTCAATAAAATGAGCTTACTTGGGCATTTTCCAAAGAAAACTAAACCAGGTAACCAGCGGGGGAGTGGTGGCACAGGGCCAAGCTGGGTTAGTTTAGCTCTAATCCCTGCTCTCTTCCTTCTCAGTTATAACTACAGTGCAGCCTGAGCTTTTCGCCACACACTTTTTGGCTGATTGAAGTGATGCAACTGCTGCTGATGGTGCTGCTGTGGCAATGTACTGATGCTCAGGGTGCGAACTACGGATGGGCAATGATTTTCCAGTATTCGAATAGTTCTTTTAAAAAAATGATTTCAGCTGACTATGGTTTTATCTTTTAAAAACAAAGAGCCGCTGTTTTCCCTTGCTTTTACCGGTGCCTGGAAATAATGCAATAACAAGGTCAGTGTTACAGATGGGCACTTCAAGCTAAAATACTATTTGACAGTTACTCAAAGACCCTCCCCCCGGATGCCTTGCCTTAAAATGGCTGTGCATAGTTGTCAATTTATGATATGCTAAGTTAACCTGGCTGAGTTTGCACTGCACCTCATTGTCATTTATTTTCTTGAAGAACTGTTTGATGGCTGCAGTCTCTGCATGTTTCTGCTGTTTGCATTTGGCGCTGTAGTAAAATGATACCGTATGTGGCCTCGTTATCACGTTATGTTCAGGCGCTGGTAAAAGCGAGGGAAAACAGTTATGATGAAGCCTCTTGGATGAGAGGTGAAACGTCTTCGACCTAAAAACCTAGTCCAGTTGATTTTTCTAAGTTTTTTCAGCTTACTATGACCTGGATGACTGAGAATCTGCACAGACACAAAGGAAAACAGGCTCTTTGTTTTTAAGGACAAAACCATAGTCGCATGAAATATTCATTTTTTTAAAATGTAATGACTATTTGAATATTTAGCAATCTTTACCTGTCCCTAGTCAGTATATCATGGGGAAGCAGGGCAGTGGAAAAAGAGACAAATAAGACCAAAAACATAAGTGTGGAAGGTTGGTTGTATCAAACTTCAAATGTTGAGTTTCAGATATAAAATTCTTATAACATAAATAAAATACAGTATATAAATGTCTGAGGTGTGTTTGTGTTGGCATTACCATGATGACAAGTCTCTGGTGATGAAGGAGGCCTGTTGGGCCATGGCAGCCATCTGCTGCAGGTCCTCGTCCTCTGTCATGTCCATTGGCAGAGTCTCCAGAAAAGCCTCCTCCTCCTCCTCCTCTGTCAGACACATTGGCAGCAGGACAGGTGACAATAAACTGAGCAGTGCATTATGGGAAAGCAATGCTCCGCTGAGTTAAAACTCAGTGGAAAGTCTTTTCAGAAGCAAAATGAAGCAGATGGAAAAGTCTGTGTTTACACTTGAGCTGCTGCTAACAGATAATCTGCGGAGTTCATTACTTAAACTAATACACACCAATTAATTAGCTTAAGGTTCTCTGACTTTAAGTGATACGGGTTAGAGGCAAATATTAGGACCGATGTGACTGATGCACTGAATCAGTGAAGCTGCGACCAACAGTTGTTTTCATCATCAGCTCATATACAAATTGTTTTCCTACATCAGTAGTTTCCTATTGAAGGTTAGAAATTAGCAGGATATATATAGTCAACCGTGTTTAGTTTCTAGTTACTTTACAAACAAAGATGCTTTGCTATCAATCAAACAAGCTAACAGTAAAATCAAGTAGTGGATTTATATGAAATTAGTTTGTTTAGGTTCATGAAACCTTTCATGACTCCAGCTCCTCAAATGTGACAAGTTGCTGCTTTTCTTTTTAATGATTTTAATGTTTGTAGCTGATTTTTGATCATTTAAATAATGGGACTGCATGAAACTTTAAATTCACAGATTTCTTTATGGAGTCTGGCAGTGCAATGTTGGAGTGAGATGGAGGGATACGGATCATTCCTGGTTTTTCTTTTTTTGTTACCAACATTTTCAATGCAGGACTTTTACTTGTAGTGTAATAGAGTATTTCTACCGCTGACGGTACAAAAATAAGTCTGTACTGCTCTGATTTTCATTGTTTTTTCAAAATTAAAATCAAAAACAAATCAGAGAGCGGCCCGTCAATCAAAGGGCTCTCACCTGGTCTCTTCCGGTACGTCTCCAGGGGCCGAGGCGTCCTGATGGCGGCGTCCTTCACTGCCTGTCTCAACTGCTTCTGCTGTTTCCGCTGCTTTTTGGCGACGTTTTGCTGCGTCAGCTGCCGGTTCCTCAGTTTGTTCTCCAGCTTCACGCCGCTCGTCTTCAACAGGCGGCGGAACGTGGGCCGGCGCTTCTTGGACCGGGGCTGGAGGAGGGAAGGGAACGAGAGTTGGACCATACCCGAGTCTACCAGGTAAATACGTTTCTTGTGAGCTCGTTATCAATCAAAAGAAGCACCGGATAAAGGCTTAAAGTTAAATCCGGTGCTTTGTGTCTCTTAGCTTTTCATGTAAACATAAAATTAACACTTATTTAACACATTATTGGCGAATTGCCAATATCGTATACAATATATGCCAATAACGTTATCGTCACCAGCTGCTCTTTTACATGGGCATTTAAGTCTCAGAGTCGGCTTCTTGCAGATAATACCCCCCATTTAATTTCAAAACATCAGTCCCAGTCTTCAAAGAAATGTGCTCTTAGTGCATATTTATAGTAGATTGTTCTGTGACGCTGATGGATGATTTGCTCTTTTCACAGCGCTCCCATATTTACTTATTTTTATTTATTTATTTTTTGCGCTCCCATATTTACTGACCGGACCCATGGCTGCAGGAAATGTAAGCCTCACTCCACGAGTTCACACTGAAGTTGAATCAAGCCTCTTCGGTGAGTACGAGAAGTGTCGCCGGTGTGTTTTGGTGGAAAAGCTGCAGTTTGTTTCCACACGCATGTGAACCAGAGCTCCGGGGTCGGACCGGTGACCCAGGAAACAATCAGTGGAGTGGAGTGGAGACAGAGCAGAAACAAATTTAAAGACCGACAGATGCTGGCCCACTTATGTCATTAAAACTGCACAAAGAACAACTTCAAAAATAGGTACAGCTATTTTACTTCTGTTATGACTAATAATTTCTTAACAAATCATAAAGAAACCTGATGAAGTTATAACTCAGTTATTTGAAGCAAGTTACTTGTGGCAGTGATCATTTTGAGAGATTTTCATTAACAGAACGTAAATATTTTCTCATTTATATATTTTTGGTAACTTTATCTGTACACTGAAATGTCTTTGACTTGGGTCAGTTGTGTTTGCATGTTGCTGTACACTCTGTCTGTTTTACATCCAATTATGTAGCTTTCACAGGCTTTCCAATGACTTTACAAATACATATCAGGTCTTTTCTAGAAAATTATAAGAATCTATGGAACCTGTAAAATATTATTTAAAAAGTGTATTTCTGCTTATCGATAAATTACAGTCAAGTCTCCAAGTCACCTGAAATCAATCACTAAATAAATATCTGAAAGTTAGTTCATCATAGAAAATCTGTCATTTTGCTTTGTTTTAAATTGTACTTATGAAAATCATTTAACTTCAATTAATGATTTGTTGTACTGTCCTATTGGTTTCCATACTCCATTGAGCATCTGAGCTTCAGATCAGTTTCTTTTAATGTTTTGTTATAGAAACCATCCATCCATCCAATATCTGTACCAACTTATTCCTGAATATGATTGACCTGTGATAGGCTGGTGACCTGTCCACGGTGCACCCCGCCTCTTGCCCAATGTCAGCTAGGATTGGCTCTAACCCCCTGTGACCCTCCTCAGCATAAGTGGTATAGATAATAGATGGATAAATTTATTATGTGGGCTGATATTTACTAAAAAGGTGTTGGTAGACTTTATTTTACAAAAAGATTAACAATATTGTCTATGCACTTACAAAAAAAATGTGCATGTGTACACATTTTAAAAACAATATCAGCAACATCGTTATAACTTAAATTCTCAGTGTCCACCAATCAGGACACAGTATTTCAGCATGATCAAAGCTCAAAATGTCCAGGACAACTAGAGCTCCCAGGAAGCACTGCTAGTGTTGCTAAGCTGCATTAAAAGCGATATTCTCAGGTCGTAGTCATCCACGTTTTTCATGATACAGTTCTACAGAGGAATCATTGGGTCTGTTCTCTGCACCTCCATCACTGTCTGGTTTGGCTCAGCAACCAAACAGGACAAGTACAGACTTCAGCGGACAGTCAGGACTGCAGAAAAGGTCATTAGTGTAAGCCTGCCCTCCATGGAGGACCTGTACACCTCACGGGTCAAAAGGAGGGCGGAGAGGATCACTGCAGACCTCTCACACCCCAGATACAATCTGTTAGAACTCCTGCCCTCTGGACGGCGTTACAGGTCACTGTGCACCAAGACAATCAGGCACAGGGACAGTTTCTTCCCCAGGGCTGTCGCTCTGATGAACACTTAACCCATGACAATATGACTGGACAATAACCCTCAGTGCAATACCTGTAAATATACATTGTACAGACTTGTGCATGTCTCTAGTTCTTAAGTAGTGTTTTATCCCTATTTATCTCATTTCAATTAACATTCCTTTGTTGTCTGCATTGTTTGTTCATACTGCTTTTTCCGCATTGTTTGCACTATTTGTTGGTGTTAATACTGCTATTTTGTTATATTACACAGCCTTATGCTGGTTTACTGTTTGCACATTGAGAGCCGATGTACCCGAGTCAAATTCCTCGTGTGTCTGTTGCACCTGGCCAATAAAGCTGATTGATTCTGATGTATACCTGGGTTTGTTTGTTTTTCTTACCAGAGCAGTAAGAAGCAAACAGATTGAAGCAGGGAGGAGACACAGAGAGAGGCACCTGACAGACACTCCCAAACAAAAATAATTTCTGAATAAATGTATATTGGACAGCATTATGTTTTTTTTAAATTTGGCCTGCCGTGTAGGCATGGCGGGGTCTCATTGGCATGGTGGTCTGTCCTACCTGTAGTATTATAGGGGGAACAGTGTAATCAAAGGTTTATCTGAAATATAATCTGAATCAAAGACCAGTTCACTTCCATTGAACACCTACCACACCTGTAAGCAATATGAAAAAAGAAATTAACTTTGAACAAAAGTGTTTCATGTTGGCTGCATATACCAAACTCCACTGAGGAAACTGGTTGCTTCATTATAAATGTTCTGTCAAAGCAGACCTGGCTAGAAGACAAAAAGCTTCCTGGCTTTCTTGTTGTTCTTAAGCGTAGCTACACTTGTGCAGCTTCAGGTTGCGTTGGTCGGAATATCTTTTCCCACACTTGTCACAGATGTACTGCTTGCCACCGGAGTGCACATGCCTCTTGTGTGTCCTCAGGTGACTGCCCTGGCTGAAGGTCCTGCCACACACCTCACAGCCGTACGGCTTCTCCCCAGTGTGGATGCGCATGTGCAGCTTCAAGCTGTTGGCGTTGTTGAACTTCTTGTCGCAGGTGCTGCAGGCAAATGGCTTCTCGGTGGAGTGCGTGCGGCCATGTGAGATCAGGCTGCTCAGCTGGCTGAATGTCTTGCTGCACTCCTGGCAACTGAATGGCCGCTCGCCAGTGTGGATTCTGCTGTGGATCTTCAGGTTCACAGACTGGCGGAAGCTCTTCCCACAGAGGTCACAGCTGTAAGGTCGCACGTCACTGTGGATCCTCCGGTGGTTCCTGAGGTTGATGGAGTAGCGGAAGGTCTTGGGGCACTGCTCACACTTGAAGGGTCTCTGGCCGGTGTGAATGAGTTTGTGAGTTCTGAGCGTGACTGCACGGGTGAAGCCCTTTCCACACACAGTGCAGATGAACAGTTTCTTGCCGGTGTGGGTGTGTGTGTGGCGGTACAGATTCTGCCGCACATTGAAGAGGCGGCCGCACACCTTGCAGGCATATGGTTTCTCCCCAGTGTGGATGACTGAGTGTGTCTTCAGCTGCGTCAGCTTTGAGAAACACTTCCCGCACTGCAAACACTCATGGGGCCGCTCGCCGGTGTGTGCGCGCATGTGGCTCTGCATGGTCTGCCTCTGACGGAAAGTTCGGCCGCAGATGCTGCAGGAGAACGGCTTCTCTCCTGTGTGGATACTGTAGTGAGACTTCAGGTGGCTTTGAGATGTGAAGGATTTACTGCACACTGTGCACATGAAATACTTCCAGGTGACACTCTGCAGGATGAACTCAGGTGTGCTGGAAACTTTCTGTGGCTGCTGCTCAGGAGGCACCGGCTGGTCTGCTTCAACTTGAGCTCCTGGAGAAAGAAATACAGTTATTCACATCTGGACAGAGCGGAAGTACGGTTTATAACCTTAAATTTGTCACACATGCGTTTGTGAGCCAAATGTTTAGCTGACTTTTCTCATGTCATTTTCATTTTCAGCTTCCTCTTCAGGGTATAGTGTGATTTTGATGTTTGGTTCACATGAAATATTGGAGCCTTTTTTGTGAACGAGATGGAAGACGTGGTGAATAACCAAAAGTCGAAGGCTGTGCAGATATTGATCCACGCCCTCTGATCTGATATTGATCTTTGGGTTTGATCAGCGATAGATGTATTGACAGATGCTGATCATGTACTCACTCTCAGCAATGGCTCCCAGGTTGATGTTCCCATGTTCATCTTTAACTGTAACCGCCAAAACAAAAGGAGGGTCATCGCCGTTGTCCGTTTTGGTCTGTGCAACACAACATACAGACATCACAGTCACGTCAGTAAATGCACCACCGCCAACTAGGTTAAGTCAGCACGTGAAAAGTCTTACCTGAGTGGACATGTCCACGTCGGAATTCGTAATTCGAACTCCATATGAGTGTTCAAGCTCTGTGAAAGACAAATCACACTTAACGTGACATCATCCGGTGGTATGTTTCCTGAGCGGTATGTGACGTGTGTGTGGTTGCGATGGGGGGCAGGGGGGGGGGGGGGGGGGGTGTACCTACCTACACGAGCGTTGTTGAGGATGTTGAGGACGCTGGTCTGAGGTCTCTTACCGCCCCTCCCTGACTCCAGCTCCACCTGTAGCTTGGCTTCATCCACGATGTTCATGATCTTCCCCAGAGCCTCGTTTCCCAGAGTTTCCATGATGGAGGCAAACAGCACCTGAGAGGTCACGGGTCAGAAGGGGACAGACGCCAGACATCAACAGGAGCAGGTTCTCTTCCTCCTCTACATTTAAGCAGCAGAACCTGTTCTTCTGGCGTTTTCTGAGCAGAGTTACTTAGTCAGCACAATGTACATTGAGCGGTCCCAGCTTCACCGGGTCTTAATCAGGACGGAAACCTGTGTGCACTTGGTCTCCTTTATAGACAGTCTTGCAAATGGAAGAACTAGTAACAAACAGCAAAGCTAATATAACATTTAGAATAATGACTCTTCACATGGGGGCCAGCTCTCGGGCCGCCCCGCTCCTCACCATCTTCTCGCAGCTCTCGGCCTGAGCTCTGGTCGCCAGAGGCTGCTCCTCCACATCCGTACTCCCAAAGCTGCCGGTCCGGGCCTCCAAGCCGAGCAGGGAGGCCGAGCTGTGCTCCACCAGCTTCTTCAGCTCCGCCACCGCGGCGTAGACCAGAGACTCCATGACGGTGGCCAGCCGAGTGTGCAGGGCCACGGTGGGGCTCATCTTGCCGCTAACAGACGCTAATGTTCCCGCTGGTAAGTAGACCTCGAGGCGGAATGAGCCAGGTTGAGCGCGGCTGACGGATAATGCTAATGTTCGGTAATACAAGGCCCCCCGCCCTGTGGGAACATTAGCTGAGCTCCGCTTGTTCTACTCTTGCTTTAAAAATTTCAATCAACTGATTTTAAAATAATTTCAAGTAATAAAACGCACTTTAAATGAAAGTCTGACACCAGTTGACTAAACGGAACAACGTTCGGAGGAAGTATTTCATTTATTACGGTCGGAACAGGAAACCGTTCTTCTTCTTTGGTTAGGTTAGGAAATCGTAAACAGCTTCCGGCTTTCAGCACTCTTGAATGCAACTCTGTTCCCCAGTCCCAATGTCCACACTCACGGACTTAGTGAGGGCTCAGGGCTGCCCTTGCACAAACTTACAGAAGGGCCGAAGAGGAAGACTGTATTCTCAAATAAAGAAAAAGCATCGGAAAAAAGTGAACAGACTACAAAATAAATTGGACGATGTATACAAATGCAAACAAGAAGGTGCTTATATTAGATCTAAAAGTAAATGGATTTTAGAAGGTGGGCAAAATTCTAATTTCTTTAGTTTGCATTGCTTGAAAGGTTCTTCTACTGACAAATTAAGGAACATTAGTTATTGAAGGCCCTTTTGAGATTGCAAACTGCTGTGCAGAAGTTTATGGGGACCTGTATCAATCCACTTGTGCTGAATCCCAAAACCCAAAGATTTACTTTCTATTAAGAATTGGTGTCCTATAATGACTATAAAACTTTGGCCCTGCTTTTTGCCAGAAGAGTCAAACAAGTTTTCAACTTTAGATGAAATGCAATATGGCTTCATGTTAAATCGACATATAGTAAATAATACCAAGCTTACATTAGACTTACTGGATTATGACTTTACAGGCACTGACAGTGTTATTTTATTCCTTGATTTTTCCTAAAGCCTTTGACATCGTTGAGCATATTTTCATTCTAAAAGCACAAAAAAAAAATGTGGTTCTGGGCCCCATTCCTGCAAAACAATTAAAACCTTATATAACAATAACATGTGTTCTATCAAATTTTAAATTTGGAACGTTACCAAGATTTAAATTATCAAGTGGTATAAGGCAAGGATGCCCAATTTCCCCTTACTTTTGTACCACAGTCAAATTCCTTGTGTGTCCAACACACCTGGCCAATAAAGCTGATTCTGATTCTTCTTTTTTGATTGCCACTTATATTTTACTGAGTTATTTGACTGGCATCAGAGTCGCAGTAAGACATTTTGGCTGATAAAACTTTTAAAAGATGTAAGAGCAGAAACGGGTTTTAGAGCGAGGCAGGGCAGAATCATGTGTAACAGATGATGTGAGTGGGCAATGAGATCCTCAACTTTTGTGCGCTTTCAAAACTTTTGGCATGAACAGACTTTCACAGAAACCCGTGGAGAAATCAGAAACAAGCACACGCATGGCTGGGATTACACTCTACATTCACAAAACTGTGCTTGTGATACAGGAGGATTGTCAGGCAGGTTCTGCAGCCTCTCCTGTGGGTTCTCAGCGGATTTATGGACGTTTACTCTGGAAGGGCATCAGTCTCGCTGAATCAGATCAACACTGGTTTCCTTTCTGTGTTTACATCTCACTGAGGATGGACTCTGAGAAGGGGATGATATTTGACTCAAACCGAAACAATCGGGCTCAAAGCGTTTTAAAGTCAGTCAGTCTCCTCCCTGTACTGTCGCACTGCCCTGGTGACCTCACAGTTTGAAAACTTCTGACTTGTATTTCCAGACCTGTCCCCCACAAAGTTGCATGATTCTTGGTTGCGCTTATGAAGAAGAGATTTTGGCTGTCGGGCATCATCAGTCTGGATGATTATTGTATGATAGAAACATACAGTCAGAGTTTGTGTGTTACTCTTCAGCCTTGCTGTGTTGCTGCCGGTCTACCCACTCTGTGATGAGACAGTTGGCGAGGGCGTGTTTTGGTGGAAGCCAGAGGACAGGGCTCTCACCTCTTCTGGGTGGAGTCTTCACCTGCAGGGCGAATGTGATTTCCTCCAGACTGAACCAGCGAGCATCCTCCAGCTCTGTGTGGTCCACCTTCACCTGGACAGGAAACAGCATGGCAGGTCATGTGACATGTCGGGTACTTCTGCCTGTTTGCTTGCAGCTGAGGTGTACCTAGGGCTGAGTGTAATGAGAGACCAAAAGGAAACACCACCTTTAATTAACAAATGTAGTGAACATAACTTCCCCCTTGACTCAGTCTTTCATATTTAACTCCCCTAATTATCTTTTTAAAGTGTTTTTAAGATCCTTAATTTGTCCATTAATTAAAATATTTGAAAGGTCTTTAACAGGTTATGTAGATTTAAATGCTTCAGCTTAATTTTCACATTAATCTTAAATATTTCACAAGTTGTGGAAATTAATTTAAGGAGGATGTTTTTAGGAGGGAGTTAATTACAGAACAAATGAAAGGGTCACATTAAAATTGGGGTAGCTCCACAGGTTTAGGAGTAAAAATCCTTTACATTTGCAGGTACCCCCCAATTTATATCTTAAAAATCATAATTTGTTACTTCTTGTGTTGGAGCTCACCTGGGTGTGGGCGGGGCTAACAGTGGCATGACAGCCCAGCATGAAGGAGCTGTGAGGGAAAGGCCAGTGCTGTGAGGAGCTGTAGGAGACACTCTGAACCTCCAGACCCACCTCCTCCGCCACCTCCCTGCACAGAGCCTCCTCCAGAGACTCACCTGGAACAACCAACAGGGACAGGTAGGTTAAACAGGTGTGCAGACAGGAAACCAGGTGAGCCGATGTAATCAGCAGGTAAGCCTGACCCATGTCACAGAAGCCAGCCAGAGCACTGTACATCCCCCGAGGGAATGATGACTGTCGGCCCAACAAACAGCGTTTCCCATCAGACACCAGGGCAATCACCACCGGAGACATCTGCGGAGGACCAGGAGAAACCAGTCAGACCAGGATAACAAGATCAGGAGAAATCAGTCAGAATACTGAACCAATATACAGACCGCCTATGACAAGGTTACAGTTTGGTTTGGATCTGGTTTACCTTTGGATAGTAAACAATGCCACTGCTGCTGCAGACTCTCTGACTTCCTGCCTGATTGCGGCGGGTCGGCTGACCTGTAGCACTACAGAACCTGTTGGTTTGATGCCAGCGCAGTAGAGCCTGGCCCTGTGGGAACAACCAGGTCAGGATCAGAATATGGATGAAACATGCATAATTCACACGACATGCTAGAGATAATGTTCTGTAGTGGTCCTGTCTTTAATAATTTGGGTGAACTGACCATTTTAAACTTTGTATAACTTTGAGATGGACTTAATGCAGCTGTTTGCTTTGGCACGATTTTCAGAATCATAGCACGACTCAATGATTGAGCTCAGAGAGTTTCGGACTCTCTAACAGAAGATCACACAAAACCAACAAACCTTCAGGGTCCAGCTGTGGTTCCTCACCTTGGCTACTCCTCAGGTCCATAAAGGTTCCCTCACATGCTTTTTCTACTGCTGCCTGGTCCAGTTCTCCTACACCAGAACATCAGAGCAGAGTGCGCAGTAAACGGCCACTTGAGGCTGTCTCTGAAAGGGAGTCAGTCCTCATAGACTCGCATGTTAAAATACCCAATATCCCATTTCCTGACAGTTCAACAGGGGGTGATTTTTTTTTAACTCGCCCGTTTAAGTTGTATTAAGGGCGTGGTCACTTTGAGTGACAAGCAGTAGGGTCCCGCCCCAGGCGGCGGGCCGCCAGCTGGCTAGATGGCCCCGCCTCTTTGCCCATTTGTGGATCAGACCTAGCAAGTTGAGTGAAGCACTACCAATATGGCAACCGCCAGAAAACCAGCGGGTGACGTCACGGTGGGTCTATTCCGTTTTTATATATAGTCAAAGGTTCTCACCAACGTCCAGACAAAACTGGGGCTGATTCTGTTCCGAACAGCCGATCAGAACCGAATCCTTCAGCAGAGATCCGTCCGAGCCGAGTCTCTCCAGAATCAACTGCACATCTGGAATATCAAGCATCAGGAATGTGAAGCTAATTTGTGCCTCATGTTGTTTTACTTGACCTGACGTTCTACAGGCTCTGAATGTGTTATCTTTAGTTTTTCACAAATCGTCTCATTCTGATGTTCTCCAACTCTAGTTCCCATCCTGAGCTTCTACTTCAGTTCTCTTCCTGTGGTTTCTGGTTCTCTTCTCGTCCGGAATCTCTGGTTCTCCACTAGTGGATCTCATAGTTCTGGTCTGTATTTGTTTTTTTCTGGTTCTGTTATTCTTTACTGTGGATATCTTGATTCTAATGTTTCTGTACCTGGAGGTCTGCTTTTGGTTCTGTGCCCATGTTTCTGTGGTTCGGTACCTGAGCTGATGAGTGCTGCAGGGGTGAAGGTTCCTCTCTCGGTGCGTTGCAGCAGAGGAGACAGACGGTGGAAGAGGAAAACGCGACTGTACTGCAGCGCCGCAACACATGCAGCCTCATCCTCCTTCAGCCTGTTCACATACCTGTGACCACATCAGTCAGTTACTCAGTCTGATCTGTTAACCTCACCAGTCACTCAGCGGGATGTACTAATCAATGAGTCGGTCATTACTGAACCTCATCCTGGAAACGAAGCTCGAGCAGCAACGGGACGGTGGACATTTTGAGGCAGAGAGGAGGATTCTCAGAGTCTTCCCCATTGCTGGTAGTCTGGACTGGGCTGAGCTGGCTCGGTGCCTGCAGACAGGAAACGGGGAGCAGCGGCACTTACTGTGGCACCGTTTGATGGATGCGCACACTGAGCTGAAACGGCGCAGATTTAGCGAAAATAGGGGCAGAAACAGTAACAACAAACGTCTGACATTCACTTCAACTCGAGCTTCCTGGTGTATCATACATCCGAATATTTACAGCAGACAGACAGAGTGGGTTTAGGTCAGATTTCACCGAAAATGACAATCATGTAGTTAGCAGATAATGAATGGCGTTTGGTGAGAAATGACAGGCAAAACACGCTTCTCGGGCAGGGGCAGACCGCAGAGCTACATGGCACCAAATCCGTGTGTGTTGTGTCGTGACAGTGTGTTTCAATAAATACCTTTACGTGTGTTTGTCAGTTAGGCTACCTTTCCTGCAGCTGTTTTCGCACAGAGCCTGTGGCCTTTGCTCCTTCTTCGTCTGATGCTGTGCAGCAGATGTGTGTTCTGCCCCCTGTAGGACACATTTTGACAAAAACAAGTGGAACACACTTGTTTTTAATCTTCGTTTCTGGGGCCCCAGATTCCATTTTCATGAGGTTTCTGAAAACTTTCCACCAGGCTCCATTCAGCAACCTGTCATTTTAATGTTTTCCTTTTAGTGACAGGACTAAATACATAGTTATTGTCGGTAAATCCCAGTTTATTAAAAAAACAACATGCATGTTTAGCAGGTTAGTTTTGCTTTTAAGATAAAATCTACATTATTCATAACTAGTGAAGTGTCTGGTATGAGCAGGTTGATAAATTGGTATCAATTAATGCATTGATGAATTAGATGATTTTTTCATACAAACCCCATTTCCAGCAAAGTTTGGACATTTTTCAAAATGCAGGAAAAAAATTGATTTGCTAATTTTCTTGAACCTTAATTAAACAGGCAAAAGTACAAAGAAAAGGTTCTCAGTGTTTTCACTGGCCCTCTCAATTGCATTTTAAAAATGTAGGCTAAACAAATTTTAAATTGAATGCCTGCACCTCAAAAGTTGAGACAGAGGTTAAATAAGACTGAGACGTTTCCATGTGTCAGTTGCCATGAGAGAACTGTCAGATCAAAAGAATATTTCTCAACGGCCATGCTACCATGATGGCTACAGCCACATGGACTCCGGAGGACTTTGGAAAACCATTGTCACTTTACACGGCCCACTGCTGCATCCAGAAACCCAACCTGAAACTCTATTAAGCAAGGAGGAGGCCAGACATTGACATCAGAAAAGATGCTGAGGTCTCTGGGCCCAAGCTCAGCTCAGATGGACTGACAGACACGGTCAACTGGCACGTGTGTGTGAAGGTACCATCGATGCGGAGGCATATATTGGGATTTTAGAGACATAGGTTGCCATCAAGCAACACCTTGTCCCAGGAGGTCTGTGCATATTTCAGTAGGACACAGTGCCAGGCCTCATTCTGCACATGGTACAACAGCTTGGCTTCATAGATGCGGAGTGCATGTGCCTGACTGGCCTGCCTGCAGATCTGGCTCCTGTTGAAATGTGTGGAGCATCATAAGGAGGAGAATCAGACTGATGAGCAGCTCAAGCTGGAATGGGCCAATATTCCACAAATGCACACTTATCTTGATCATTAAAATTAATTGGTACACTGGAGTTTCAAAAACAGAATATTCAGTTATTAAATCAGAATCAACTTGACTCAGTACAGTGGCTCTCAATGTGCTTTCAGGAAGCGAACAAGAAGAAAACAGGATATTTGCTGTTGACCCGGAAGCAGTAAGTATATAGCAGTGTTTAGAGAAGAGCTTCAGATAAATCAATACAAGGCTTATATTTACAAGTTATTCCACTGGAGGCTGTTGTCCTGTCATAGAGATGTGGAAGAGATAAAACGGGTTTAGTACAAGGAGCTAGCTGTGATGTGGACTCGCAGACCGTGTGGGTCACTTTGTGTCTTTATTCTGCAGCCACGTTAAATACATTAAAATAGGGAAGATGAAAGCAAACAATCTGCTTTAAAACATGTAATTAACAGAAAAAACTAATTAGGACCTATGTAACAATCAAACGTTTGAGAGGTCAAGTATAAACAGCCTGGCATAACAAAGGAGGAATAACGCAAAACCTGGCGCACATAATTTTTGGCACAACGGATTAAAAACGTAATGTCTTGTTTTCCTGATTCCGTTTATTTGTTTGTTTTTGGTTGCAAAGGTTTTATTTTGTATTTGTTCGTTAACTTGACAGATGGAGGCGATGAAGCTCCGCCGCTCATTCATTAAAAAGAAAAAGAAGAAGAAGAAGAAGAAGAAGAAGAAGAAGAAGAAGAAGAAGAGGAGAACTGCAGGTCCCATCAGGCCTTTCGGTTGTACACATGTGTCGGAGATCTTTGTCCGAAGTGTAGCAGCGTCATGTCTGTGTTTATGGATCTGAACCTGTGCTCCTCGGCTGATAGGAGCGGTCTGCGGAGTCTGATAGAGACAGCAGCCCACCGTGAGTGTCTTTGGTCCCGGGTTAAATCCCAGTTTTCACAGCAGGAGTTCAGTGACTGCGGAACGGGAAGCTAACTCAGCTAGCATCCCAGCTACTTAGCTCAGAGTTGTTTGTGTGTGCGCGCGCTTCCAGGTAATCCGTTAATCAGGTGACACCTGGGTGACCAGTTTGTTACAGACTGCAGTAGTGAATGCAGCTCGGGAAACATGCTGAGAACTTTGCACCAGAGTCCGTTCAACTATGTATCATTTTAAAGTTTCCAAGGTTTTTGGTAAAATAATCATGCAAAACAACATGTAGCACATTATTACCGTGAATAAAACCTTGGATAATAACAATTACAGATTAATTCAGTTGGTTTGTGTCCCTTCTGTGGCTTCTTGTCTGACAACAAATTATAATTCAGACCCCATTTGTAAATGTCTCTTAAGTTTATGTTTTAACTTTTTAAAGTTATAAATGGAGAATATTTTAACATTCAGTGGAATAATTCAGCAACTCATGAAACAAACGTTTGAGTTACAACCTTTACTTGTCAGCAAGCACAAATAGAATAGGTAACAGAAAAACCCGATAAGTGTGTATGATATACAGAGGTCTTTTGTGGATGGTGGAAACAAGTAAACCCATAACCATCTTAAAATGATCAATAACTGTCAATGATCTCTCAGCTTTACGATGACGTGTGTTTTCTTTTGCAGTTGGTTTCTCCACAGTCGCCATCAACTATGTGTTGGAACCCACGGCCAAAAAGAAACCGGTGAGCTTCCTTACCTGCTGCATTCAAAGCCACAGTCGCACCCAGGAACACACAAACACCAGCACAGCCCTTTTTGTTTACATTAATCTTAGAGTTACAAATGTGAACCACTGTTTCCTGTAGAACTACAGCTACTAGTCAAACATCAGCATAGTGGCAACAGCCTTCACAGTGATTGAATCGTTTCACTACCCTGCAGCGTTTCCCAGTCTCCAGACGGACTGTTGGTCGGACATAACAAGACTTATGAAGAGCTGCTACTGAAAACTGTGTGATGGGCATTTGTAATAGTTTCTGAGTATAAGATACAGCTTCTGTCAAACTGAGGTGTGAAGCGATGATTTATGACTCTGGTGTCACTGACCCCGCATACTTATCACGTTTCACTTCCATCTAAATTAAAGACTTGTCAATTTTTATTTAATCTTTAACCACTAATTTCTTGGTTTATAACAACATTAAGGATTTTATTAGGGTTTTCAGTGAGGATAGAACCAACCAACACCCCCAGACCACAGATCGCACATCAAAGGGGTTTTATTCGGCTTTCCCTAGCAATAGGACAGAGCAGCAGCACACAGACTTAGTTTGTTGCTCTCTGTTTTATTTTTGAATAATATTTAGATTAAATATTATTCCCAAAAACTACATAATTCTTTTAGCTAGGAAATGCTCTATGTGATCAAAAGTATGTGGACAGACTGTTTATTTGCTGTTTACAGGAAATCCCAACACCAACACCAATCAGTGACCTAATGGATGGGCTGCCCATTGTACAGGTACAGTGATGATGAAGTTGATGACTGTGTGCTCTGTCAGTATGTAACACCCGTGTGTCTCCCATCAGGGTCGGTCTCGTCCAATCAGAGTGCTGAACAGACTGACTGTGGTGATGTCAGACGCCAGTCATTTTGTGAGTATTGATCCATTTTTATTTTGTTTCTGCCTCAAATGTCTGAAATCAGGAATAAAGAAAAACCTGAGGCCTGCTGCCAATTTCTCATTTTCTATGTAAACACCAGGAGAACAGTGACAATCATTTTGTTAGATAGTGTTGGATCTGCACTCAGTGTGTATATGTATACGTGTGTGTGTGTGTGTGCGCGCACCCAGAGGCTGAATGCTGCAGAGTACCGGCACTTCGACCTGCTGGCCGTTCAGCCGACCACAGAGAAACTCTTTCATGTGAGATTCACTGATATGCACACACACACAAAATACCACAGCTGGACAGTCACTGAATACTTTTACTTGAGTACTGTAGTACTGTTTGAGTATTTTTGTTTTATACTACTTCTGACAGCTGCAGTTAATGATTTCCCTGCAGATGAAGATTTAATACTGAAAGCACAACAGTGTTACACATTAAACTTTATGAAGTTTACAATCTGCTCCACCCACTACATTTCATTACTGTTTACACCTGAAGGCACCACACTGACACACTTTCCTGCAGAATGGGTGCTTTTACTTTTGATGCTTTAAGTACATTTAGCTATTAATACTTCAGTACTTTAAAAAAAACATTGTGAGAACACGTTATTAATGTGTGTGTGTGTGTGTGTGTGTGTGTGTGTGTGCGCGCGCATGCACAGGCTGCTTGTCTGTTGTATGATGTCGACATCATCTGTATCTCGCTCACAGAGAAACTTCCCTTCTTCTTCAAGCGGGCGCCGGTCAACGGGGTGAGACTGAACATTGTCTTATTACTGGTGATAGCAGTGGTAGTGCCTCTGTTGTTTCTGATCACACAGAGCTGTTGGTTATTTAGCCCCACTGATATAAACGGGGTGGACACAACACTAGAAACGGCACAAACTGCAGCCTCCATAGTAAACACACAGGTGAACCAACACATCTGTGAAACGGTCTGACCACAACCTGAAACACCTTCATCAGGGCGATTAACTGCAGGACTGTTTGACATAGGTGTTCCTAATAAACTGACAACTGAGTAGAGGATAACGTTGCACTGAAAAAGCTTTATTTCAGTTTGATCCTGACCTGATTTGAGGCATAATGAAAATACTGGTTGACAAGTAATTATTTAAAAATGAAAAATAAAAAGTTTCACTTGGTTTTGTGTGTGTGTGTGTCAGGCTGTGGACAGAGGTGTGGTGTTCGAGGTCTCGTACTCTGCAGCCATCAGAGACTCCACCCTGAGACGCTACACCTTCACCAATGCTTTCAGTCTCATGGACACCTGTAAAGGAAAGGTACAATCCTATTTGTCCCAACAGGCTTCTGTAGCGTCTGTAACAGTTTGCACCTGTGAATATAAACCCAGGCTGTTTGTGTGTCTTCTAGAATGTGATCCTGTCTAGTGCAGCTGAGAAGGTCAGTGATCTGTTAGTGATCAATAATGATCAGTATTGATATGTGCAGCTCTGTGAATCTGATTCTTGTGTCCCTGTTCAGGCTCTGGAGCTCAGAGGTCCATATGACGTCACCAACCTGTATCCTTCTGCTTTAACAGCAACTGGTTTCCACCCTGAGAACTGGGTCTGTAGGGATGTCAACAGCAGCCCCCACCCTCCTACAGAGGAGCAGGACCCCCAGACTGTTGGTGACAAATGGTTGTCTCATTCGCTTTTCAGAATTAAATGTGAAATCTAGTTCAGGACCACTGGACCTCCGGACCCCTGAAGGGCCCCACAGTACCTGTATTATTAGTGTTGTTACTGCAAAGATTTCGGAGTTATTTAAAGGTAGTTTAACAGCACTGTTTATTTGTAACGTATGCAGTATTTTAATATGAAGCTGTAGTTCATTTGGTTCGTTTTACCGTTTTCATACTATGGTTTACAGTGTGTTTGTACTACAGTACTGTGTGCAGGTGCAGTACTCTGCATGTGTACATGCAGTACCCTGTACAGATGCAGTACCATGTGTGGTGTTGTTCTCCTGATCCAGTCCCTCAGAGGTCTGTTGTTTGGTTTGTCCAACGGAGACGCAAAAGAAGCCATTTCCTCCACTTGTCGATCTGTTCTGCTACATGCAGGTAAATGCTGCATACCACTACAGTTAGTGCGAGCACGAGCACTACAGTTTTTATCAGACAGGCAGACTACAGTTAGTGCGAGCACGAGCACTAGCACTACAGTTTTTATCAGACAGGCAAAGGTGTGTTTGTTGTAAATGTATAGCAAAGTGATGAGAACATGTTGAGCACAGATGGCCTGATCGAAAGCTCAGGAAAAGCGTGTAAGTGGATCTTTGATGTGTGTGAGTGCAGGTGTGATCTGACCCCCCCCAAACTGTGTTGTCAGAAACCAGGAAGACGGCAAGCGGCGTCATCTACACGATGAAGAGCAGCAGTGAGTCTTCCTGCCAGGAGAGGGCACCACCTGAGTGTAAGTTTCACCTTTACAAAAGTAACAGGAGAAATACCACAGTGTACAAATATTCTTACAAGTAGAGGTCCTGTGTTTATATATAAAAGTACAAAGTAATCGGCATCAAAATTTAAAATCTACTACTAGTCATTCTGCAGAACAGCCCATTTCACATGAATTACAAGCATTATTGTGTTATTCACTTTAATGTTGCAGCTGGTAAAGATGGCGCTAACGTCAACTACCTTATATACTTATCTCAGTTTTGTACTGACATACTGGAGGAAATGTTCTTTCATTGAATGATGCATTACACTAAGCTTGTGAAGCTGCACAAACAGCACACATTCTTATGAACATTAGTTTCCCAACACATTATAAACTAGTGGATTAATCAACCAATAAGGCAACTTATCGACAAAATAATCGGTCATAAAACAAGAGCACCCAGAGAGCTCATGAACCTCTGCCAAGGCACAACATTTGTTCATACAAATGGGTCCTTTTTGAAGAATGAGAACCAGAAAAACACAAAATCCTTGATCTAGATCATCTTTTAGGGCACGACAGGCAGTTACACTGTGTGTCTTACCTGCACATTTCAGGGTTCTTTCATTATAGGACAGGTTATGGCAGAAAATGTGTTAAATGGGGCTTTCAACGTTAACTTTAAATGGCCCTCAGATCCAGATGAAACTTGGTCTGATGACAGACAGGTGTGGTGCAGGTACCTGTAAACATTTGTATTGTTGTGTAAAATGTTTGCTGCTCTGCTCACAGTCTGTGTTTTACCTGAGCAGGTGAAGCTCCTGCAGCCAAGAGAGCCAAACCGACCTGACGATCGACGAAGTGCTTGACGGCTGATAATGGTGGGACTCAATCTGATTTCTTCTGTTTTATTTGTAACGGGAGATAACGAACTTTAACTTTCAGATGTGTGATCTGGTGATTTTTGGACAGAACAAAGAGCTTGGAGTTGCTGTGACCCTTTTGGTTTTTGTAGGTTTAAATGCAAATAGTGAGTCAAACAGGACAAAGTGTGGCAGGTGTGAATGTGCAGACTGAGGGTGTGGTGCTTAAAGGAAGGGCTGGGGTTAGCCGATGGGCTCGTTTTTACTTGTACTACTCTAAATATAAGTACAAAATATAAATGTATATCATTTGCTGTTGTAAACCTGTTTCTCCATGTTGATTTACATTTTCTCTTTGATTCACACTAAATTTGTTCTCTGAAATAAAAGAGCTATTACATATTCTGCATTTCACTTCATTTAGCTGACAATGGTAGTTTGTTACTTTGTTCTTTCAGATTTGATGTAAAACACTGGTTTATATAAGCCAGTGGTTCCAAAGTTTGTCCTGCGACCTCAGACTGCAGCTGCTTCTCATCAAAGAGAAGTAAATGTGTTTCAGAAGTGCTTCGTTTTCAATATTTCACTAAAAGTCAGAAATCAAAGTATAAAACCTGAAAACAATGAATCGGAGCTTTCTTCTCCTGTTCTCTCAACGAATAATGTGACGCTGCTGCAGATTTATCTGGTGACCCCTGTCCAACCCCTAGATTTGGAACCCTAAACTAAACTAACTGCCTGTGTACGTTGATCAGCCATGACATTAAAAGCAGCTACCTAAAACTGTGTCTATCCCACTTGTGGCACCCAGACAGTTCTGACCCATCAAAGCGTGGACCCACAGGCCTGTAAAGGTGTCTGTAAGTCCTGCAAGTCATGAGGCGGGGCCTCCATGGATCAGCCTTGTTTTTTTTTTTTCCCCTTCCCATCCTACAGATGCTCAATCAGACTGAGCACTGAGCAAGTGGAGGCTGTGTCACATTCCTGTGTGTGGCAGGGCCCACGATGGCGCTGACATCAGGGAGTACAGCTGAAGCATATGAACTGTCTGACAGAGCCATCCTTTTATTCTTGGAACATTCCAACAGACCCACATCAGGAGACTTTACCTCATTTCAGCAGACATTTGAGCCTGAAGGGGAGTTTGTAACTTGATTGGTAACTCGGTTCCTTCACATGTGAAGCCGTCCCTGTGGAAGAACACCGGGGCTGCTTCACCTCGACTCTTAATGGCACCACCTGCTGGGTATCATCCTAACAACTTAGTTGTTTTAGATGCATGAGAAACATATAGAAGACTGCTGGAAGTTTGGAAATGTGTGCGTGCGACCAATGTGTGCTGACAGGACTGTGACAAAGCTCAGAGTGGAGCATCGAGGTTCCACACTGGTGTGATTTCCCAGTAAAAGTCAAACTGGTTTTACTGGTGTCCTCTGGTGCAGCTGGGATCACTTGTCCTGCACAAAGCTCCACCTGCCACTGGACTACAGCGACCATCATCATCAAGGCCATAGCCGACCAAGTGGAGTGTAGATCTGTCCCATTGGAGCTATGTCTGCTGTTCAGGTACGCCTCACCTGTCTGGGACTTGGGTTCACATTTAGACAACAAACAGTAGCACAGTTACGATTCTGTCTGATGCATGTGATACGACAGATGCAGGCAGCTGTAGTACTAGCATCAGCAGTAGTAGTACTGGTTGTAGTAGATGTGGGGGTAGCATCACATTCACCGCATTGATGATGTGTGGTGTAGCTATACAGTGGTGTGGTGGTCAGTTTCCACAACCTAACCAGTGATATGTTAGGATGATGACTTGGTTTAACTAGCTTGGGTTTAGATCTCTTAAGTCCCCTGGAAATAAGTGGCAGTCAAGGTCCTGTCCTCTGACTTGATGGAAACATGAATGTGTATGTGCAGGTCATGGTAACATCCACCAGCTGACAAAGCCCAAATGGATGAAGCTGCTGGTCGACCTGGAGGACTGAAGGAAATAAATAAAACGTTGGCTGGGAACTGCACGGGTCCTAGCTCAGCAGAGGGGGCACAAAGAGTGAAGAGACGTCGGAGCAGGTGCACTTTTCTGGTTCGCTATTAAGTTTTTGTTCTTAGTGGAAATAAAAAAAAAAAAGAGGGGTGGGGGCATTAAAGGGTTAAACTTCCAGGAAAAGCAACACTCCCTGACTGATCAATGAAGACTTAACCACCTGTTGATTAATGATTGATTTGTGGCTTAGAGTTCAAAACAGGCACTGATCATGAGAGTCGGGTTCAATATTGACAGGACAACTGATCATCCTCTGGTGTCGCTGCCGCCTGTCAGTGTGTTGGGTTCACAGGTTAAGAAAATCAGACCTTGGGAGTTTTCTGTAAAATGTTTTATTTTGAAATCAGTCTGCACTCTGATCAGGACCAAAGATAAAAATATACATCCAAATATAAAAATCAGATTGACAAAAATATAAATGTACAAAGAGAAAGATCTTGGCTCTTGATGGAGAACAAAGATTAAATTTGTTTTATTTCTACTTTAATTACAGGCATAAAAACATGAATGGACACAAAGGCAATAATACCACTTTAATGTGACAGCACCTCATTTTATAAGAAACGCCTGGTCTCTGACATTAAAAATACAACTTAATTTAGTCACTTTACAGCTCGACGGATGCCAAGAATACTGATGTGTGGGAATGACATGAGGGCAGAGATGCACCAAGTTGACATGAAAGAACTAGCAGCTACAGTTGGTGTGTGTTGGGGCTCCTCCTCCCAGCGTGTCCCGCACCGTTGGCACTAGTTGGCCTCCATCGGTGGCTTTTTGGCTGATCTGACATGTTGAATCAGCAGCAGCAGTCGGGCCTTGTCTGTGTGGGAGTCTGTTGAGCTTACTGAATCAATGCATGAGAAGGAAAGAGTTTGGAAAAACCCCTTAAGCCTGTCGCTGTAGTATCATGATTTCACCCATCTAGTGGAATTTCTCCTTGTTTTTCACCTCCACAACCTCCCTTCTTCTCACAACCAAAGGATCAGGGGCAGAGAACAGCAGTGTCATTTGCAGCTTCGTATCAAACGTATTCTCGATTAGAAGCAGCTAAAAACAGCAGCTGTGTTGAACAGGATATACTTCTGCATTCGAGCTCTTCTTCCTCCCCTTTCTGAATGGCAACTACAGACACAACCACCTGCTGGGGGTGTAATTTCTGTCACACAGGTGCAGAACAAGCCCACGTGAGGCGACACAGCAGTCGGCCTTCATCGCTGCCAGTTCTTTCACGTTGGTTTGGTGTGGCTCTGCCCTAAAAGTGAAAAAGCAGCTCAGTGTTTCAGGAACATGTCACTGATCGATGTTACTATGTGGGACAGGACAAAGCTACTTTCTGTAGTTTTAACAAGAAAAGAAACAATTGTCTTATTTCTTGTTAATCTAGCCTTTGGGGTTTCTGTCACCTTTCCTGCTGGTTAGATTTTCACTGGGTGTTATGTTTTATTTGTGTGTGTGTGTGTGTGTGTGTGTGTGTATATATATATATATATA